TATGAAAAGCAGGAGGTAGTAGTCAGAGGGCTGAATGAGCTTCGCCAGTTCCTCCACAACATCCCAGGTGGACCAGATCCTTTGCTTCAAGGCACATCTGGGTCCTCTTTAACTTTGAGGGCAGTGAACCTATTTTGTAGTTGTAAGCCCTCAGGTGGGACAGAAGCCTTCTGCTGCTTCCAGAAGTCACCAGCTTCCATCCTTCAACTTCTTCAGAGTTCGCACTTACCTTAATACTAGGGGTAGACACTGCCTGCTTCTCCACTGCATTTGGGGTCTGGGGCTCTTCAAGTTGCTGCGTCTCAGAGAAAATCCTGTCTGTCTCCCTTTCACCTACTCTGACGCTGCTCAGCCAGCTCACTTACAACCATTTGCCAGCTGAAGAATGCCGACCACTTGCTGTCTGTTATGGCTGGGAATATTCTGTGGTGTTAGTGTTGCCGGCAACTGCTGTATCAGGAAGTGCTCTGGAAATACCGTTTTATCAAATTCGTGGAGGACTTGCCTGGGAGTCTTAGTGATAACCATTTTTTTTCCCCTAAGAAAGTAAATATGGTTGTGATTGATGATTTGAGAAACTCTGCTTGTGAGAGAAATTGAGAAAGCTTTTATGAAGTATGTTATCACAGGAATCTTAGCATCCTGGACATTGTCCAGAATGTTTTTTGCTAGGGTAAAAAGAGCTGCACCATCACTCTCAACACAAACTATATGGTGCTATTTAAGAACCCCAACTCTAAGCTCCAGATTGTGTCCCGAGCCAGACAGATGTATCCTGGCAAGGCCTGGTTCTTTTTAGAGGTGTTTGAAGATGCTATGAAGGCACCATATGGGTACCTGGTTTTCCATCTAAACGCTACTACCCCCGAGGCTTTTAGACTAATAAGCGGTCTTTTCCCACCAGAGCTTTCTGCCATTTACATATTGGGAAAAAAAAAAAAAGAAAAAAGATTTGCATTAGGCAACAAATAGAGAGAAACTGGTCTGACAGCATGTGTTGCTGCCCATGCAGACTTGGAAACATGATGTCTTGCTGTTCGAAGTCTAACCTGTCCTTCCTGGAGCTGTTGTTCCGCTCCTGCCACCGGAAGAGGAAAGCAATACTCTGTGCTCCTTCTGATGATCTGATAAAGGCCATTTCTGAAATTGCCCTGAATACCTTGAAGGGGAACATTGCATTAACACCCCACTATGTACACGTGCTGAAAAAGGGATGCAAATCCATTAAAATCCTGAGTAGTAAAAATGTGTCCTTCAAAGGAAAGAAGCTACTGGTGAAGTAAGCCAGAAGGTTTATTAGTCCTCCTCTAAGTTTTCCTCTTTCGCTCATCATGGGGCTTTTGGTAAAGCAGTGATGGACTATGTGGAAAAAATTTATCTGGTGCCTGTAAATCAGCTGGAGCAGCTACGGGTGCTGCCATTACCCAGGGAAGACATGAGGGCTGATACAGTCTACTCTTTGGATGCTGAAATGAGAGACATTCTCCAGAAACCAGGTTTGATGGCCTACAAGAAAGCTAAAATGTATACAGCTGCTCTTTAAAAGTACTTGTCTCATGAGAAGCAGAGCAATCAGGAATGGGGGAAAATAACTCCTGTTTTTCCAGAAGAAAACAAGAGAGAGGTGGAAAAGCCCCTGGAGACTCCTGAGGACTCCAGCCCTGTTGTTCAGGCAGGGCCTGATAATGTGCATCCACGGTATTGGAAGAATGCGCAAGTGCTCCTAGGTAAACGAGGGCACCACAAGCATATTTCTTCTTGGGAAAACCAGGAAAGTTTTGTATACAAAGGAGGTGGCATTAAGGGGTCCAGCCTGCTTGATTTAGTCCAATGTGTCCTTCAGACTTGTGGCCCATCCAGCCTGAGAACACCTAGAGCCTGGAATGTTTTTATGAAAACCTGTGATAAATGTCTCATCTTCTGTCATGGGTCATACAAAAACCGGGGTCTCTAGGAACATGTAAAAGTGACTGAGGAGGGCCAAGAAGCTTCACACACACCACTTAGGAAGATGAATATCCCTAAACCCCAGTGGTGCACCCTGTAAAGTTTACTGTTGAAATGAAAATATTCATAGAACCATGGAATCATAGGATGGTTTAGGCTGGAAGGAAAATTTAAAAGGTCATCTAGTCCAACTCCTCCTGCCATGGGGGGCTTATATTCATACAATCTTTAAACTTTGCTGTCTGTAGTGTCCATTTAAAAAACACGTTGGGGTGGGGTGGTGCAGGCTGGGTTGGGGTGGGCTGAGCTTAAAGAGTACCTTCACAGTCTTACAGTTGGATTGTAAGTTTTATTTACAGAATACATTTATGAAAATTGCTACAAGACGTGCTGGTCTGGGTCTTTTGAAACATATTATAAGTAGCTATGGTCATGGCGAAAGCTCCGTCTTCATATTTTACAAAACACATCAGCATCTGATCATTTTGTACTAGATTGTTAGAATACAGTTTTAAAATCTGTTGAAAAGGTAATCCCTTGTTATGGTGATATAGGAAAAAGACACCGTGGTATCCACAGGCCATGGAGCAGGAATGCTGCAGTTGCTTCCACTGGAAAGCAATATCCGTAGCATTGTGATTTAAAAAGGCCATGAGGCTTTCAGGAAAGAGAGCACTGTTTGGAGGGTAACCACGAGTCAAAAAACTGCATTTTGATCTGCCAAGAAAAGTGCTAGCCAGTGCTCTCCAGGCTGGTTATGAGGATGCGTATTCACCACCACACTCACTGGTCTCGGGGAAGCATGGGCCCTAGGGAGCCACTTGCTCAGGTAAGCACCTAGAACTGTCTCCCTGGTGTAAGGCTCTGCTGAAAAAAACAAGAGAGCTGGTCCTTCTCAGACTTGTATCTTAGACAGGGGATAATTCTACCCCAGAAGCATGTATTGATTATTTCTGTAGTCTAGGCAACAGATTTGTTATGTGTAGAAAGTCTCAGTCCCAGGGTCAGAGCTGGTGCTGGGACTCAGGCCAAGGCTGGACTCAAGAGAAACCCAGGTGAAGTCTCCATCCAGCAACTGCCACGGACTGTCTAGGATCCGGGCCAGGCCAGGAGGACAACAGTAGCCCAGGCCAGACACAGGCACAGATATGGCAGAGCTGGGGCAGGCCTGCCCTAGGCCTGAGCTCTCATAGAGGCCCTGGGCCAGGGGCCAAGCCAGAGCTGGGACCCATGGTTGCATTGGGTGTAGGTGGGCTTGGTCCTGATGCTCATTTTCCCTGTGTTGCCAGCTGACTCAGCACTGCCTCCCACAGAACCTGGTGGAAGAGATGCCCCCCATCCTCACCCTGTGTAGGAATCACTCTGTCCTCCACCCTGGTCCTGTGGTGCTGGTGGTGTGCGGGGTCTCTGTCATGCAGCCTGCCTCACCCAAGGGGGTGTTGGGTTCACAGCAACAGGGGACTCCAGTGTGTGGCCTGCTGTAGCTGGTACCAATACTAACTTGTGAACACCTCAGACTTACGCATGTTGGCAACGGGTGGGCCATGCCAGATGCTGTGCTGACAGGTGATAGGGCTGCAGGGGGAAGCTGTCTCTGCTGACCATGCACAGGTGTGCTGACCATGGCCCCTAGATCAGCTGATGGAGGGGAGGGGCAGCTGGAGTAGGGACTGTGGGCCATCCCCAAGGCTATTTACCCATTCCCAATTCCAGCCATCCTTTGGCAACATCTTCCTCTGAGCCTCCCTGCCCAGCACAGCCCCACCCAAAGCAAGAGGAGCACTCTTCTCCAAGAGCCTGTGGGACTGCTGATCTCCCTGGGGCCTCCCACAGGCCCACAGTTCCTCTCTGGAGGACAGCAGTTGTCAGGATTCCTGTTCACATGACGTGCTCCAGGGCCAAGGGGGTATTTCTGAGCAGAGTCACAGCAAGGCAAGGACTGATGGCCATTGGCTGTGGAGTAACTAGGGGTGTCTTCCACAGCTTCAAGAGGCAGTGCCTGAAAGAGGACTCGCTGCAGTGTGTCCCACCCTCCAGTGCCTCTAGGAGTGATGAAGGGACCTCCTGTGCCCCCACCTACTTCCCCTCCAAAGCAATGGCTTTCTCCCTCGGCAGTCAGTGTGCAGATGGAAAGACCACCAAAGGGACACAGGCAGGATTGCAGCAATTTTTTAATGAGCCTAAAGAGGGAAATGAGGTCACTCCAAGTGGAGGCCCCCAGTGCAGGGAGGAGCAGGAGCAGCCAAGAATCTGTTCCCCTTTTCCTGGGGCAGAGTTCCCACAGGGCATCTGTCGACCTGCCCGGCAAAGGGAGACAGGCTAGCAGGTCACTCCAGGCTGGTTTCTGGGGTCCTCACAGCAGGCTTTGAGGGGAGCCCAAGACAGCAAACAAAAGAGAGAAAAAGGGTGAGTGGAAGACAGGAAAGAGAGACATTGGCCGTGTTTTCAGAGAGCCCAGGCTGGCCTCTTCCAGTGCAAGCCAGAGATGACCAGCTAGTCTGAAAACAACGGCATGAAGTTTG